TTTTTGAAAATCCAATTCAAACCACCATTTCTTGTGTTTTTCTCTACCTTCAGGAGGGGCTTTAAGACACAACTCACAAATGAATATATTAAAAATCCAAAAGATAGCGTATCTCCTCCATACATGAAGTATTAATTTATTGATAAGAAAGTTTGAGAGGATTTTATAAAGTCTCGCACCACACTTAAATTCTTGGCTAAGAGCCAAAAAGGAAAGGAGGATAGAGCTTGAAATATCTATCCACATAGATTGTCTCGTTGAAGATATGATAAACTTGAACATAAAATGATTAATAAAAAAAGAAAATAAAGGGAAATAGAGCTTGGAGATCCTTCCAGAATCCTTGATTGAAGTCCATCTCCACCATCATGCTATGGAAAATGGAAGAGGACACGTCAAAGACTAGATGACTCATTCACATCAGAGGTTACACGTGAAGTGGCCGAAAATATTGTAAGGAGATATTTTTTTCAACATTTTTTACTTTAGTTAATTCAATGTGTTGTAGGATGTACTGGTTGAACAAGTTGAAGTTGGTAGCTTCGTTCCACAAGATCTTCATGACATCTTGGTAGAAGCAATTGAAATCGGGAAGCATATTGGGTGTGCTTGTGGTCTTGGAAGAGGCGTCAGCTTTAAGTTACATTTTGGAAAGTCGCGAATAATTAGCAAAGTAAATCGTAGGAGAGAAGTTGAAGAGATAGTTATTAAAAAGATAGGGAGAGTATTAGAACATGAGAAGTAGAATCAGGAGGAGCGAGAGAGGGTGGTATAAGAGGACTGGGAGGAACGGGAAAGGATGTTGCAGGAGGAACAAGAGAGGATGTTACAGGAGGTGTAGGAGGAGAGAGACATGTTGGTTGAGGTTGATTGAGAGAAGTGTACCTGTTATGTGATTGAGTTATACATATCATTTAAAATATTTTTGTTGTATGTTGTTGTTATTGTTTGTGTATTTTAATTTTTGTATTGTATTTTAGTTGTTTTTATGATACATAAATTGAAATCAATGAGTGTACTCAACTACCAAATCTGGATCAGTTGGATATGTCTCAGAAAGTAGTTGAGAAAAGTGTTATGGATGGTGCAAGCACGAAAGATAGTTGTTCAACTTCACATCACAATATTGAGACCACACCACCTCAACTAGATAACACTCAAAGACTATCAAGGATGATAGATGAGATTTCAGAAATATCCGTGTATGAATTAAAACTTGAACCACAACAACCTTTTATGCTTCATAAGAGTTGTCTTGTGGAATTTTTAAAGGGAGATGATTGATTGAACATACCCTTAATACAATTGTGGTGCTTAAGTATAATTTTTACGTTGGTTTCAATTTATATTTTTTGTTCTCATACTTTACTATGAAGTTTTGACATTTGCATTAACTTTTAATTAGGGTCATGCATGAGATGTGTGTTGAAAGGAAATCGAAAAAGTATTGTTTCTTAGATCCATTGAACATTCAATTTTAAGGTAAAGCAACAAACACTATCAAGATGCACATACAAAATATGTTAATTAAGGGGAATAAAGAATGTTACATGAAACCATTTATATGTAAGTAAGTATATGCTTTAGTTTGTATTTTCATTTATAAATTAATTTTAGGGTTAAATATGTTTTTGATCCCTATAAATATCTCAAATTTCATTTTTAGTCCCTATAAAAAATGACATATTTCAATCTTTACAAAAATTGTATGCATGCAGTTTTAGTCCTTGTTATTTTCTAAAATTTTGAAAGCTATTTAATTAGCATTAAACTTTTAAATTTTTGAATAAATGCTTTCATACATGTTTAGAATAATATAAAATGTTTCTTTATCAAATTTTAGAATTTTTTAAATTTCAAAAGATAATGATAATAGTAATGAAAATCTCGATTTAAAATCAAATTTTCAGTTCTTTTTTTTAAAAACTTTTTATAACGTTCTAAACATGTCTGTAAAATAATCAGTCAAAAACACACATCAATTTAACAAGAGAGACTAAAACTATGTGCATAATAATTTTGTTGGGACCAAAATATATCATTTTTTATAGGGACCAAAAATATATTTAACCTTTAATTTTATACACATTATTAATTATTCTGAGTGTTTATGTAGATACCATTTGCAACAAATTATTTTATGTCTGAAGCAAAATATTGTAGTTATGTTATGCACGTTACAGTATCATCTTGATGAAGATATGCAAAAGGTTTGAGCAAGTAAATGATATTATTTGTAATACTCAAATTTTACCTTTACTTTTGAATAGTTTTTATTCATGTTTAACTTTTATCATATGTAGAACTATGGAGGGATACTATTTTTTAAAACGTAATTTAGTTGGTAAAAAACAAAAATTCATAGAACCACGTGTAAGTATTACTTGTGTTTTTTGATATTATTTTATTTTCGCTAATGTATTACTGATGCTTTGTGTGTATTAATTAGTAACTATATAAAAGTTATTTATAGTCACAAAAACAACCTAACAACTTTGAATATAGACACTGTATTATGAGACATATGTTTAATATTGTCTCCAGAGGCATTACCAATTCATAGACTAAGGTATTAAATATCCATATACATGTAATTTATGTATATTTGTTAAATTAATGATGTTGTTAACTTATCATAATTTAAATTTTATTCAAATTATAGGGGTTTAGTGAAGAAACAACATTCCCATAAGAAGATGTAGATGAGATTCGATTGCATTGGATCAATGCCTTCCTATCTTATCATAAATCTCGTAAACACTAGTTTTTCTTGATTTACATCTATACAATAGCATTGTATAGAGGTTTTATAATTATAGGTACAAATATGTATATGTTCAAATATGTATAGGTTCTCTTGGTAGAGGTTTTGTGTATCTCAAATGTCATTATAAGTATTATGAACATTGTACATTTGGTTTTAAATAATGTAAATTTGGTATTCTAGGTTATGTTTTGTATAAATACAAATGATCTGATTTTGTCACATAATTTGTAGATTTTGTGTGAAAATGATACATGTAAGTCAAAATGAGTTTTAAAACAAAAAAAATTGGTTATACCCCTCGGTTATTATCAAAATCTGACGTAAATTCTGATATTTTTTCCTCGATTATTAACAAAAATAGAGAGATATATGACGCGCGCTACATAGTTTTAAAAATAAACAAATGTTGTTGTTAAGGATCGAACCAATGGCCTTTTTAACTATCCTCTCGGTTATTCAGAATCCGACGGATAAGGTGCAGGTTTTCATGTCGCCCTTCGTTACCTCACTTCTCTAATCGAGGTAAAATCCCCTTCGCGTCCAAGGTTAAATGAGTATATTTGTAGTAGTGTTGTCTACGCCATTACTGGCGTACTTGGGGAAAACATATTTATACATAACTGGTGCGCCATCTTTGAATCTAGCCAATCCAATGGCATAGTCGGTGGAACCCAAAGACGTTCGAACACCTTGATCCAAGTCAAGGCTCGAGGCAGGGACAATGATCCTACCCTTGGCAGGCGAACAATCATATGTGACATGGAGTATGGTTCAAAGATATGACACAATCTCTCTAGGTCCAAATCCCACATCCAAAAGTTTTAAATGCAACGTCCAAGAGCATTAAACACAATATAATAGTATAATAAAGCTAATTATAACAAAATGCATGGTATGGAAAATCATTTCGCACATTAAAATGGCAAGTTACACAAGGATATATCACACTAAAGAGAAAGAATCATGCACTATGGACTATAACTTCAGAAAGATCTTGCAGTTAGTCACTCAGAGTAACCCATTCTTCTTGGAGGCCCCCTAGATCCTTAGTTTGTTCGGTCCTCTTCTTAAACTCTGACCTGAGGTTCTAGATCACGGTAAACAAAAAATCTGACTCAAGTTCCTTCTGTTAAGAAAAGAGAGAAGTATGAAAGAAATAAAATACTACTTGTGTTTACCAAGTAAAGAAATAGAGAAGAGAGATACAAAATATATGGGGTCTACCACCTTTTCACTTCTTTGCTAGTATGGAGAGAAACAGAGATTGAACTATTTTTTTAAACTTTGTCAATACTACCCTTTCCTAATGAAAGCATGCTAAATGTCCACTTTTACACTATTTTATCTTTTGAAATATTAAATACATGATTTCAAAGATGATACCATCAAGATGTTTATAAAGTACATGATTTTAAATTTATTGATAGGTAAAAAGGTGGTTTTATCTTAAACCATTTCAATTTCATGATATACTATTTTCATTCCATCGTATGAGAAATGAGAGAATTCGGGGTGAATAATTATAAGTTAATTTGCAATATAGTATAATATTAATAATTTTTCTCCACTTAGGTTGGTGTAAATGTGTCATGATGGTCTCTTAAAAGACTCTAATAAACATTAGATAATGAAAAAAATATTGTCATAAAAAACTAACCGTAATAATTTCTTAAGATACAAAATAATTGAAAGTAACAAAAAGAGAGACACAAGAAAATACATCTAGAGTGATGACAGGTGGGAAGATTCGTTCCATGTTGCTAGCTCATTACTCTCCTAAATTAGCTTCCCCCAACCGTTGAACCTTTGTTTACTCTCTCTCCCTTCCTCTCTATCTCTCTCCCTGCAAAAACTTCCTCTTCTATTCCATAATCATTCACCCCCAATTCTCATTAACAATCTCGGAGAGAAAGAGAGAGAAAGAGATTCACATTTTTATTATTCATTTTTCAATTCTCAATATCTCTCTTTCTCTCCTAAAACGACCCCCATTTTTGTGTTTTTGGAGGCTCAAACGCCAAACACCCTAGATGCCTTCATTCTTGAATTCTCATCGATATAATCATCAATCAACGATTTTGATTTATACCCATTTCGATTCAGAGGGATATTTTTGTTTTTGTTGGAATTTTTCTACCTGGGTGTAGATGTGGAGAAAACCCCTTTTGTATCTATCTACAAACCCTATAATTTGTTTTGGAATCCAACGTCATTCTTCGATTGTTCTTGTTTCATGGATTCTAATTCCACATTTTCGCCATTGGGATTTTTGATTTTCGGTTTTTTTCTTAGCTTTTATGCTTTTCTTGTTCAATCTCAGATACATGATGGAAACGATTTTCAATCACAACAACCACAACAACCACAACAACAACAACAACCAATGCCTGTTTTTATGGTGTCACCATCACCTTCACCTCCACCGCCTCCTCCGCCACCGCCACCTCCTCCTCCACCTCCACCTCCGCCTCTGGATCCCAATTCCCCTCCCTCACCCTCACCCTCACCTCGCCAACATTCCATTCCTCCCGAAAACACGAGGAACCCCAACCCCAACGAAATAAGATCACCACCTCCTCCACACCACCGTCACCACCACCACCACCATGTTCAATCTCCGCCACCCCCGCCTCCTCCGCCGCCTCAAGGAATGAATGCTGGGAAAAAGGTCGGACTTTTGTTTATCGGCATTGCGGCATTTCTACAGGTTGGTATGGTTGGGTTCTTGGTAATCAAAAGAAGACAACTTTTGAATACCAATGACGACAGATACGAGCATTCTTCTTCTTGAAAAAATTTACTCACTTTTCTTATTAATTCTTTCTTCATTTTTTTTCTTCTTTTAAAAGAGAAATTAATGGGTTGAAATTCTTTGTCGGGGGAGATTCTGCAGTAGGGGAATGTATGAGTTTGTGGAATCATTGGAACAATTGATAATTGATACTCTTTGTATATTGTTATTGGTAGTTTACGTTTCCCTTTCACGATTTATGTAACCTTTTTTTTTATTTTAGTTACATTTTACATTGGATTATACTACTAATGAGAAACAGAAGAAGCCCTTTTGTTGTACTTCTTTGTTTTTGTTCTTGTTTTTCTCTAACATGTTTGATGTACAATGATGATGTTGGGAATATTTGATGGATTAACAATATACAAACTTAGTGTTATGATTCTTATCTCTAGTGATTATTATGTTGTAACTCTTATGAGATTGCTTCATATAGAATCTGTTTTTTTAATGTACATACAAAATTTTTTATTAACTTTCTGAGTAATAGATAGAGATGATGTTTTGCTTTTTCATCATAAGAGTGAATTGTGTCGAGTGGCTGCAAAGACTAATGATTGGGTTGAAAGTACATATGATTACTTTGCATAGTTAATCATGTGGCATTTGATTGTCAATTTTGTATTGTACATATAGTTATTTGTATTTGTTTAGACACTTTCAATATTTGTTCATAATTTTAGATATTAAGCCTTCTATGTTGATGTGTTATGGTGGATATACATGGAGGTTTTTGTACTCAGTGCAATAGTAAATATAGTTTGATATTGCAGAGTTTTATGCAATAATCCGCTATAACGGTGTCATAAAGCGTCCATACGGTAGAATTTTGGCTCCATGAACCATTATTTGCCATACATTCGGTCATATTGATGGTTGTTGATAAAGATTTGATAGTGAAGATTTCAAATTCAATTTGAAATCTACATGTTCTGATTTCGATTCAATGACCTATTGATGTGGCCGACTGTGTGAATGCAGGAAATGTTGATTGTGTAGAATTTTTGTGTTGATGTATAGCCAAGCTTTTCTAAAATTGTCCATTCGTTCTGAAGGTTTCAAATGACATGAATTGAGTAGGTTCATTGTTGTTGGAAAATAGGAGGAGGCAGAATTTGATATTCAATTTATCCCTTTTCTTGCTCAACCAACCAAACAACATCCAAACATGTTTAAGGAGAGTAAATGCACGTATAAAACTAGAAAAAAATTGAAAATATTTGAACAATAGTTGGTATAGATTTATTATGGTAGTAGTAGACGGGATCCAATTATACAAATATTGACTATTTTTTTTCCAGTTATCTAGGCTTAAAATTTATTTCCTTTCTCATGTCCTGAAACTAGCAATGCAATTAATTTCTTGTATAGTTTGTTCTGCCCAGTCATGTGGCTGCTGCGTGTGAGAATTTATATGTGAATTCATGTTGTTTGTTTGCCAGTCATGTGGTTTGACTAGTTGAATTATAACAACAAAAGATAATAACAACAAAAATAACTAAGATCATAACAACAAAAATAAAAGTAATGACCAAAGAGATAAACCATCATAGAGAGGAGCAACATCTAGAAAAAGAAGTAGACAAAGATAGAAATCAAACAAAGTTGGAAGAGAAGAAGTCAAACAAAAAAATCAATGGACAGAAGAGACCAAAGTAAGAAAACAAATCAAATGGAACCAAACCAAATCCAATGAAACTAAATGAAATCAAACAAAATCCAATAAAACATAAAATCAAACTAAACAGAACCAGAGCAAATCAAATAGAATTAACTCAAACAAAATTGAAGCAAATTAAACAAAATCAAATCAAATTACACCAAACTAAAAAAAACCTTTAAATCCAAAAAAAAAATGCAATCCAGAAAAAATAATTAAACAAGATTAAAACAACATAGATAACAAATCAACAAAAAATTGGTACAAGGGTATAGAAGGGATTATTTGGATGACATTTTGTTGGAGCATTTGGACAAAAAGAAATGCAGTAATTTTTACTAACGAGAGATGGTGTGTTTCTGATTTAGTTTGGAGTATTAAAGTTTTAGTTTGGAAATGATTATTTTACGATGAAATTACTTATGTCAAATCTAATTTTTAGAATTTTTGCAAAGAATTTTTGCATTATTTAATTTAACTTTCATTTGGTCGATAATTTTACTTCTCCGAGTATTTTTCCTCGATTTTGTAATCGGGTGGGAGTACCCCTAATACTCCTTTTGTTTAATCATACATTGCTTACAAAAAAAACAAAAAAATGGTACAATAAAAGAGGAGAATGCAACTTGTGTTGAGGGAGAATATGAGAATCGAAGGGTTAAATATGTCATTCTCTTAAAAACCATTTAAAAAAAAATATTTTCTTCGAAAAACTAAAGTTTTACAAATAAATGCGTATATTACATACGGAAGCGAATTATATAGGAGGTTTTATGAAAGCCTTAATTGGGATGAATGACACATTTAATTAAGATCATCATAAATTACAACAATTGAGAATAATGAAGCTGCTTAGCAAGCAATTTAATAATTATCATGATATAATTTTCACACAAAACTCAAATTCAATTTTATTAATTAAATGCTCAATCTATCAAGAGTTTAAACAAACATAACCACCAGAAAATATATCAAAATGACTAGATCTATTATATATCTATGCTTATATAAATTAAATCACTATAAGCAGATAAGGTCTATACATGTGATTTTAGAGGTGATAAAACATATCTATACAAAAATGTAAAAAGAGATAGATAGTGAGATTGTACACCAAATTTATACTCCTTCAAGACGTTTTTCCTTTTTCTGCGCTTAGTCCAGTCTTCAATGACGAACCAGGGAAAATTCATAGGATATTTCACTATTTTGCAAATTATTATACAAAGTTTTTAATACAGTGGACAATCTAAACAACATTGAATATTTAAAAGCCTATTAATGCTTAAGTCAACACAAGTCTAAATTTCTCTTATGTTGTGGTAGAATACTCAAATTGTTGAATTCATAAGATCTTCACTTATTCTTAACCCAATTTCTTTACTAGACCTAAAGTTCTACTCTAAACTTTCGTACTGCAACAATCTTTACTCAATTCCACTGATTCCTTATTTGAGCCCTTGTTCTACCCAAGGATCTTTAAAAATCCTAACTTTGTTGCGCAACTACTTTCTTTTGATTCTACTGAAGTCTTAATGGATCACAATATTGGGTTTTCAATCTGATCACACAAAAAGTTTCAAAAAATAATAGATTCCCTAATGTATCTCATATTTACTACACACACAATCTTTAGAGTTGAGTACCACATCAATATAGTTTCTTTATTTAAGGTTGAATATGATTGAATATCTTGAAGAAACACGCACAATGCCTAAACATGTCTAACTCATTCAAGATACTATGACGTTTTTGATAGGTTTGACTTGAGAGAGAAAATGTGAAAGAAGAACACTCTAGGTTTTCTTTAGAATGCATAATTGTGCATCATGTCATTGAAATTGTATCACATACACTTTTAAAATGTGAATTGTTATATTGAGAGAATGACGAAAATGAAATATGTATAGGTGCTAAAGGTAAGATGCACAATATGTGAGAAAACGAACAACTGATTTGAGTTAGATCATACAATTATGATTTGAAATAGAGGAAATAATTACTTGAATCAAGGTGATAAAATTTGGAAATGGCTTGTTTGGTTCAAAGTGTTTTGTGATTCAAATTAGGCACTTTCTTATTCGAATCACAAGGTTAATGCCTAAATTCTAATTTAAATCGAATTATTGATTCAAATCATTCATATGTTTGATTCAAATCAAACTTAAAAAACTCCTTATTTTAACTTTTCTAATTTTCAAATCAAGACACACACATATTGACTTTGACCAATTTGTTCAAACTAAAATAATTTGTAATGGATTAAAATTAAATTAAGTGTAAGGGTTTACTTAAGGTACAACTCTACATCACAAAATCAAATTACAAATAAAATTGAAAAAATAAAAAATCAAATTACAAATGTAAAAAGTTACATAACATAAAACTACAGATAGAATTTACTTTTATCAATTGCACAATTCTAAATGGTATAATATTCATTAATATATACATTGCACCATAAAAATTACTATAATTAAATAACATAGAGCTAGAATAGAGGTGGCAAATTGTTAGTTGAAAATTTGACGCTTAAAGATTGAATGAGGACATCAAGAATAGTGAATATGTTTTCGACATTGATCTTTTTCAATCGAGATTTTCTTAATAAAGCATAAAGTCGAAACGTAACATTTTGAAGATGTGATCGAAGCGGGTTCAACAAAGAAACTTGAAATAAGGCTGAACATTCGAATTTTGGCACTTATTTGTTCCTTTTAAAAAGAGACGCGTGGAAGCCTATGAAGAATTGAACGCATGCAAACAAGAACATGTCCTCTTCTTATGAGAAGACTGTTCGTTTAGAATTAGTATAAATAGGAGTCTCTAGTTTAAATTTCTATGTGTTCAATTTTTATACAAATTACTTTATTCACTCAAAGTATCAAAGTTAATTGAGAAACGAGTTCTGAGAATGTACGTTTGAAACACCACATTTTTATCTTTCAATGCAACATTTATATTTTTTAAGTCATTTACCATTTCTTTACACTTTTTAGTCGAAACCCTTATTCTTTTCTTTATAATCTACTTTCTTTACCTTTATTTTTATTTTTACCATTTATATTAGAACTTACTCTTTTAGTCAAAAAGATCATTATAAAAAAAAAGCTATAAAACAACCAAAAACACACACTATTATCCTAGGATCAATCCACTTGATCCTATAAGTAACTAGAGTCATCAGAATTTGGAATACTAGCAATTGTTTACTAAATTTTGAGGTAAACAAATTGGCACGCCCAGTGGAACCCGGTGTCTAGTTTTTTTCAGGAAAGTTTATTTGTTACAACAAACTTTTTCGTTAAACATTGTTGCATGAGGTTAAGAAGTGGTAGAA